ACACACACACACACACACACACGCAGCTCACAACATCAAACTCTCAGGCACCTATTTAGTGCTAAGTGAACAGAGGCATCAGTTGAATGAAATTGAACCCATTTCTGTCTTCTAATGGGAATCGAACCGGATCCGTGGCCTGCTAATCCCGATCGCTACATAATAAAAAATATATTATGAAAAGGAATTTGTAATGAGTATCTAGTGCGATAGCCTGTCCTAGCCACAATAGTCTGTCCTAGCCACAATAGTGTGTGTCCCAGCCACAATAGTGTGTGTCCCAGCCACAATAGTGTGTGTCCCAGCCACAATAGTGTGTGTCCCAGCCACAATAGTGTGTGTCCCAGCCACAATAGTGAGTGTCCCAGCCACAATAGTGTGTGTCCCAGCCACCATAGTGTGCGTCCCCCAGCCACCATAGTGTGCGTCCCCCAGCCACCATAGTGTGCGTCCCCCAGCCACCATAGTGTGCGTCCCCCAGCCACCATAGTGTGCGTCCCCCAGCCACCATAGTGTGCGTCCCCCAGCCACCATAGTGTGCGTCCCCCAGCCACCATAGTGTGCGTCCCCCAGCCACCATAGTGTGCGTCCCCCAGCCACCATAGTGTGCGTCCCCCAGCCACCATAGTGTGCGTCCCCCAGCCACCATGGTGTGCGTCCCCCAGCCACCATGGTGTGCGTCCCCAGCCACCATGGTGTGCGTCCCCCAGCCACCATAGTGTGCGTCCCCCAGCCACCAAAGTGTGCGTCCCCCAGCCACCAAAGTGTGCGTCCCCCAGCCACCAAAGTGTGCGTCCCCCAGCCACCAAAGTGTGCGTCCCCCAGCCACCAAAGTGTGCGTCCCCCAGCCACCATAGTGTGCGTCCCCCAGCCACCATAGTGTGCGTCCCCCAGCCACCATAGTGTGCGCCCCCCAGCCACCATAGTGTGCGCCCCCCAGCCACCATAGTGTGCGCCCCCCAGCCACCATAGTGTGCGCCCCCCAGCCACCATAGTGTGCGCCCCCCAGCCACCATAGTGTGCGCCCCCCAGCCACCATAGTGTGCGCCCCCCAGCCACCATAGTGTGCGCCCCCCAGCCACCATAGTGTGCGCCCCCCAGCCACCATAGTGTGCGCCCCCCAGCCACCATAGTGTGCGTCCCCCAGCCACCATAGTGTGCGTCCCCCAGCCACCATAGTGTACGTCCCCCAGCCACCATGGTGTGCGTCCCCCAGCCACCATGGTGTGCGTCCCCCAGCCACCATGGTGTGCGTCCCCAGCCACCATGGTGTGCGTCCCCCAGCCTCCATAGTGTGCGCCCCCCAGCCTCCATAGTGTGCGCCCCCCAGCCACCATAGTGTGCGTCCCCCAGCCACCATAGTGTGCGTCCCCCAGCCACCATAGTGTGCGTCCCCCAGCCACCATAGTGTGCGCCCCCCAGCCACCATAGTGTGCGCCCCCCAGCCACCATAGTGTGCGCCCCCCAGCCACCATAGTGTGCGCCCCCCAGCCACCATAGTGTGCGCCCCCCAGCCACCATAGTGTGCGCCCCCCAGCCACCATAGTGTGCGCCCCCCAGCCACCATAGTGTGCGCCCCCCAGCCACCATAGTGTGCGCCCCCCAGCCACCATAGTGTGCGCCCCCCAGCCACCATAGTGTGCGCCCCCCAGCCTCCATAGTGTGCGCCCCCCAGCCACCATAGTGTGCGCCCCCCAGCCACCATAGTGTGCGCCCCCCAGCCACCATAGTGTGCGCCCCCCAGCCACCATAGTGTGCGCCCCCCAGCCACCATAGTGTGCGCCCCCCAGCCACCATAGTGTGCGCCCCCCAGCCACCATAGTGTGCGCCCCCCAGCCACCATAGTGTGCGCCCCCAGCCACCATAGTGTGCGTCCCCCAGCCACCATAGTGTGCGTCCCCCAGCCACCATAGTGTGCGTCCCCCAGCCACCATAGTGTGCGTCCCCCAGCCACCATAGTGTGCGTCCCCCAGCCACCATAGTGTGCGTCCCCCAGCCACCATAGTGTGCGTCCCCCAGCCACCATAGTGTGCGTCCCCCAGCCACCATAGTGTGCGTCCCCCAGCCACCATAGTGTGCGTCCCCCAGCCACCATAGTGTGCGTCCCCCAGCCACCATAGTGTGCGTCCCCCAGCCACCATGGTGTGCGTCCCCCAGCCACCATGGTGTGCGTCCCCCAGCCACCATGGTGTGCGTCCCCAGCCACCATGGTGTGCGTCCCCCAGCCACCATAGTGTGCGTCCCCCAGCCACCAAAGTGTGCGTCCCCCAGCCACCAAAGTGTGCGTCCCCCAGCCACCAAAGTGTGCGTCCCCCAGCCACCAAAGTGTGCGTCCCCCAGCCACCAAAGTGTGCGTCCCCCAGCCACCATAGTGTGCGTCCCCCAGCCACCATAGTGTGCGTCCCCCAGCCACCATAGTGTGCGCCCCCCAGCCACCATAGTGTGCGCCCCCCAGCCACCATAGTGTGCGCCCCCCAGCCACCATAGTGTGCGCCCCCCAGCCACCATAGTGTGCGCCCCCCAGCCACCATAGTGTGCGCCCCCCAGCCACCATAGTGTGCGCCCCCCAGCCACCATAGTGTGCGCCCCCCAGCCACCATAGTGTGCGCCCCCCAGCCACCATAGTGTGCGCCCCCCAGCCACCATAGTGTGCGTCCCCCAGCCACCATAGTGTGCGTCCCCCAGCCACCATAGTGTACGTCCCCCAGCCACCATGGTGTGCGTCCCCCAGCCACCATGGTGTGCGTCCCCCAGCCACCATGGTGTGCGTCCCCAGCCACCATGGTGTGCGTCCCCCAGCCTCCATAGTGTGCGCCCCCCAGCCTCCATAGTGTGCGCCCCCCAGCCACCATAGTGTGCGTCCCCCAGCCACCATAGTGTGCGTCCCCCAGCCACCATAGTGTGCGTCCCCCAGCCACCATAGTGTGCGCCCCCAGCCACCATAGTGTGCGCCCCCCAGCCACCATAGTGTGCGCCCCCCAGCCACCATAGTGTGCGCCCCCCAGCCACCATAGTGTGCGCCCCCCAGCCACCATAGTGTGCGCCCCCCAGCCACCATAGTGTGCGCCCCCCAGCCACCATAGTGTGCGCCCCCCAGCCACCATAGTGTGCGCCCCCCAGCCACCATAGTGTGCGCCCCCCAGCCACCATAGTGTGCGCCCCCCAGCCTCCATAGTGTGCGCCCCCCAGCCACCATAGTGTGCGCCCCCCAGCCACCATAGTGTGCGCCCCCCAGCCACCATAGTGTGCGCCCCCCAGCCACCATAGTGTGCGCCCCCCAGCCACCATAGTGTGCGCCCCCCAGCCACCATAGTGTGCGCCCCCCAGCCACCATAGTGTGCGCCCCCCAGCCACCATAGTGTGCGCCCCCCAGCCACCATAGTGTGCGCCCCCCAGCCACCATAGTGTGCGTCCCCCAGCCACCATAGTGTGCGTCCCTGCCACAGCAGCCCGTCCCTGCCACAGCAGCCCGTCCCTGCCACAGCAGCCCGTCCCTGTCACAGTAGCCCGTCCCTGCCACAATAGCCCGTCCCTACCACAATAGCTTGTCCCTACCACAATAGCCCGTCCCTGTACTTTAGCAACGGAGCACTGTATCCCGCATGTAATCCGCTTTGGAAGTGAAGTGGATATAAAGGACATATATTTACCAGTGAGGATTTTATTTATTTGTAAACAATGTTTTATTGTTCTATTTGCTTGTTAAATTTGGCATCTGATGTTCGTAATTGTCGACGTGTTTTTTTATTGAATGGTAAATGTCGCTGATGCGTTAATGTTGTTAATCCGTTAAAATTATGTTGTGCGTAGCAGAGTGGACAGCACAGCCGGTTCATAATTACAAGTCCCAGGTTCGATTCTCACGATCAGACAAGAAATGTTTGGACAAGTTTTCTTTTTCACCTTGTTCCTCTGTTCTCCTAGTGGTTTATAGGTACTCGGGAGTTAGTTTTTGTGGGGTTTCATCCTGAGGGAGATTAGCAGGTAGCCTAGGGCAAGGATGGAGAAGCTGTGGCATGCGTGCCCACTGTGGTAGGCCAGTAAATTGTGTTGGCATGCGGTCTGCAGTGTCGTCCCTGGATTTTTTAAACCCCCTTTTATAATATATATGAATCAAAGCTTAGAATTTCACGTTCACGTTTCTTGTTGCTTATAAAGTAAAGTATTATTTATAAGTTAATATTAGTAATTTGTTCAGGCTTTCTAAAAGGTTTTAATTTATTTCAATATCTCTTATATTTTAGTTAATATTAAAACAATAAACGCTTAAAGTAGCAATACGACTCATTTTCCCATTAAAAAATCATAATTATTGCTTCCAATTAATTAATTTATCTGGGAAATACTAGTTATTAACAACATAATTCCTAAACTATACCATTTAAAAAATTAAGAAGTTATTAGTTCCCTAAACAGACGTCTTTAAAAATGCTTTCAAGCATTTCTTTTTTCTCCTGGTCTGTACTCTGTTTGAAGCACGTTGGACATACCTTTACTGAGGCCAACATAAGAGTCATGAATATACTCATTCACCACCTAAGTAGGCCTGAAATAAGTAACACTTAGTCAACAACAGGTTACAGACCCATGCAGGAATATACCTGCAGCTTCCCCCAACAAAATATATTCCAAGTCCAGTACGTTCATTTATCAACAAAGTATCAAGCTAATTTGTGTGCAATAATAAGAGGATTAGAGGCATTAGGGGACTCCCACCAGTGGGATCGCTTTCCATATACAAATAATATATTATAATCGATGAGTTTGAGATCTAGAATGGTTCAATAAAAACACCCCTTTTTTTACATATTTATTTGCATAATATTAGCTTAAAATTTAGCAGTATGTACAAATCTGCACTATTTATATAAAAATACACCACCATATACAACTGGCATTTGATTATCCAAATAATGTTATCAACTGACGACCACTCGGCCATTGATTTTGCATGACTGAAAACAAACTGCATTATAATTTTGGTTATTGACTAACTGTACATATATAGAGAGAGAAATAAAGGCATCTTTTTCTTCCCCTTAGAAGAAACATGGAGAACAAGTTTATTATGTGACTCGAACGTATACGCTGGTGTGTGTGTGGTCTATTACAAATGCAGTGTGGTGTCCAATAGTTTAATATTTCTGTGTCGTCACTCCGGAGAGCAAGAACCTTTGGCTTTACTCTTCTAGTGACTTTTCACAAAAATATATAAATTAAAATCAATTTATTGCAAGCCTTGACTTCGAGAAACTGTTCTTAAAACAGGAAAATGTCATTATATATATATATATATCTTCAAAATATTCAATAAATTATTTAAGATGAAAAAAAAAGCACACTCAGAAAATATCAAAGAATACGTCTTTCTCTCGTCTGTTGTATAAGTGAACGGCATAAAAGTCAACTCGCTGGGAAGACCAGCTCAGGACGTGAATGATGGAGGTGTGACATTCTCCAGACACTTGCCGCTCACTCCTGTACGACAACCTTTTCCCGAGCGTCAGGGCTGCGGCTGTCTGGAACCAGTCATGGCTCTGGCTACGGTAAAAAATAATGAATATGGCTAACATGTGAAAACTTTTTTTTTTTTTTACGTGTAGCGTACAGTAGATCAACAGCTCCACGGACTGATGGACTACTAACATGCTAAGTTACTCATCTCTGTATTTTGTCTCCTTTCTAATGACTTTTGTGGTGCCAAGCATTCACGTGGATTCTTAAATTTAGCAGTCCGTGAAACTGGTGTACTACCTAAGCCTGGGACGTGGACAAAGATGACTAGCTTTGAAGGAGCGGAGGAAAGATAGGACGAACATTCTGTAGCATCTTTTGGTTACGGAGTATGCACCGTTCACAGTAGCGGAGATCTGACAGCAGCTGGGCTGTCTTAGGGAGCGGTAGCACTGTACTTCACACGTTTCTTTCTTCAACTCAGTCCTTTGATTTACCCATTATCTTTGCATGGAACTTCATATGCATATACAAAACTGATGCATCCTGAGACGCTTGTCTTTTGAGGTTGAGACTTGCAATGCGAGTGTGATCCTTGACCAAGTGGATAAGTCTGGAATGTGTTGTGCTTGTCCCCCTTTTCCCTATGACACAGCTGCTGCAGCTGGCTCGTCGATGCACCAGCGACAACACCTGTATCAGTCTTACGTTCACTTTCTACTCCACTGTTGATTTGCCACTTCTGTAGAGAAAATAAACAGCACAGTCCATTGCATGTTCACATACTATACGATAGGCTGGCACCATTCAGACTGCAGGGAAGGTGAGCTGACACTGGAGCTGGTGATTGCATTGTCAGCCCATCAGACCATGCTAGGCATCGAATGCCTTGTCATCCTGCAAGCTGATAGCCAGAAGGACATGGTGACTGCCAGAGTGAAAATCAGTAAAAGACATGCACAAGGCGTTAACACACACAGACACTGCGCGAGACCCAGCACTTGCAGGCCACTTTGGATTTGAGATTCGGAAGGTATTGTAAAGCGTTTCCCGTGTGACACTGCGCTATAGTCACTTGTTTCATTAACATTTGTTGCTTCTCAGTCCCACACAGGTTCTTTACCTCATATGAAACACCATGTCCGGTCAACTGTTCAGGTTTTATTTCCAACTGTTCAGCGTGTTCATCACTAAGTGACAACCTTTTTTTTTTGTGATTCTATAAAAGTGTCTGTCACACATAGCACGAGTTAGGCACAAGACAGTAAACACTTGTCTCCAGTAACAGCCCGCACACTTACTGGAATGATCTACGCTTTAAAATCACAGACATTTGATTAAGTACAGATGAAACACATACACAACTCTATATAACGAACCAGCGTCGTTGGTCACAAACCATAACTGGAAGGAATCATGCAGTGTCAATACACGTTTTTCCCTCCTTCTTTATAACAAGGAATCCAACACAATAACTTCCTATTTCATCATACACCTACTCTTTGGCTAGGAACTAGGCAAGTAACAGCAATGAGATTAAAGTCGTACAGAAGGCAACCACAGGAAACTGGCACGTGTGTGGTGAGAGCCCGGGTCATGGCCACCATCCCCTAGCAAGGGTGAAGGCCTGGCTAGTGGCCACCATCCCCTAGCAAGGGTGAAGGCCTGGCTAGTGGCCACCATCCCCCAGCAAGGGTGAAGGCCTGGCTAGTGGCCACCATCCCCCAGCAAGGGTGAAGGCCTGGCTAGTGGCCACCATACCCCAGCAGATATTCTGGCCGGGCTCTCAGGCTCTCAGCACATGGATGTAGGTTCCCCGTTTATAGTGCACATCACATTGTCCAATTTATGTGCCAAGTGCAAACTTCTGCAGTCTGGATCTACTTCAAGAGTTTCAATAATCTGTCCATAGTATCTGGTGATGTAAGTGTGGAACAGTTCCTGAAGGGCAGGCTTAGCGTCTAGCTGTCCCAGGTGATTGAGGCTTAGGTGGTGTAGGTAGGCGGCCATATCCTGGTCGGTCACAGGGGGCATGGTCCGTACCCCGTTATAGAATGCCCTCACTGTCGCCTTGTACTGAGAGATGTCCTTGGCAAAAAGCAGTTTGTTGGAGGGCGAGTCTTTGCCAAGGCGATGTTCTGTGGTCGAGCAGGCGTCCATGAAGGTCTGGGCGATCACGGACAGGCAGGAGTCTACAGTAGGGCTCTTGTACACATCTAAAATAAAATCTGGATTTTTTATGAAGTTCACCCAGAAGCGCAGTGGAAGGCTGTTGGACTTCCAAGCCAAGACTACCTCTGGATCGACTAAGCCCTGCCGTCGACCAGCTTCGTCGAACAGGTCAAAAAGCCACTTGATAGCAGGAGGCAATGTCTCATTCGGGGTGAGGATGGTTTTGAAGAAGTCATCTACAAACTTCTGGACGGTGCCTTTCGTCGATAGGAGTCTGGTGAGGAAGATCTCCGGGATGGCCTTATGAGTACGCTCGCTGCCTCGGTATGGGGAGTCGTGATCCACAGGCTTCACCAGGTGGTACACATTGGACTCCAGAGTACCAGACTCTGCATCTCCACAGTGGCTCACTGGACTTCCAGAACCAGTCATTCCATATCCAGAACCTACGGGAGGGAGCATCAATTAGTGCACTTATAAAGGTATGTACATATCTCAGTATATCATAAACATCTCTCGCACGATTTACTAATGAGGATTTTTTTTAAGTACTACTGTAAACTAAAACGATCTGACACCCTTTTCGGTATCATAAATAGTTTAAGGTCTTATGAAATAAAATACCCTGTGCGTGAGTCAAGGCACTGGCACACTCACAGCTATTACACTTGTTGGTACAGTTGGCGTTATTAAGAGTGTGGTGGTCGTGCGGCCGGTGAACCAGAGCCATGATGGCAGAGTCCTTCACGCCATAGTGGGCCAGAGTGTTGAGGCGCCTCCACCCGCTGGTCTCCGACTTGGTCGTCATGTCCTCGTCTGCCAGAATCAGATGTCCATTGCGACCGTGACGCCACTCTGAAAGGTAAATATCCCTATTTAATATCGAAACAATTCTACAAGTTTGATCAATTTAGATTCAGAAAAGACTTGGGTAAATACTTGTTTGGAAACACAGTTGTTGAATCAACAAATTATCGGATAACATAATATACACGGGCTCAAAGGAATGTTTCAAGTGTAGGTTAGACATGTATATGAATACGTTTGGGTGGATATAAATAGGAGCTGCCTCGTTTGGGTCAACATATCACAGGACGACCTACACTGGGGCTACCACAGTTGACCTACCGAGGCCTACCAAAGCTGACCTACCCTGCGGGCTACCACAGCTGACCTACCCTGAGGGCTACCACGCTGGCCTACCCTGGGGCTATCACAGTTGACCTACCCTGAGGGCTACCACAGCTGACCTACATTGTTTGGCTACCATAGCTGACCTACCCTGGGGGGTACCACAGCTGACCTACCCAGGGGGATACTACAGCTGACCTACCCTGGGGGCTACCACAGCTGACCTACCCTGGGGGCTACCACAGCTGACTTAGGGTAGCCCCCTAGGGTAGGTAGGTCAGCTGTGGTAGCCCCCTAGGGTAGGTCAGCTGTGGTAGCCCCCTAGGGTAGGTCAGCTGTGGTAGCCCACTGGGTAGGTCAGCTGTGGTAGTCCCCCAGGGTAGGTCAGCTGTGGTAGTCCCCCAGGGTAGGTCAGCTGTGGTAGTCCCCAGGGTAGGTCAGCTGTGGTAGTCCCCAGGGTAGGTCAGCTGTGGTAGTCCCCAGGATAGGTCAGCTGTGGTAGCCCACTGGGTAGGTCAACTGTGGTAGTCCCCCAGGGTAGGTCAGCTGTGGTAGTCCCCCAGGGTAGGTCAGCTGTGGTAGTCCCCCAGGGTAGGTCAGCTGTGGTAGTCCCCAGAGTAGGTCAGCTGTGGTAGTCCCCCAGGGTAGGTAGGCTGTGGTAGCCCCCCTGGGTAGGTCAACTGTGGTAGCCCCCCTGGGTAGGTCAACTGTGGTAGCCCCCCTGGGTAGGTCAACTGTGGTAGTCCCCAAGGGTAGGTCAGCTGTAGTAGCCCCCCAGGGTAGGTCAGCTGTGGTAGCCCCCCAGGGGAGGTCAGCTGTGGTAGCCCTGGGGGACTACCACAGCTGACCTACCCTGGGGGATTACCACAGTTGACCTACCCTGGGGGGCTACTACAGCTGACCTACCCTTGGGGACTACCACACTTGACCTACCCAGGGGGGCTACCACAGTTGACCTACCCAGGGGGCTACCACAGTTGACCTACCCAGGGGGGCTATCACAGTTGACCTACCCAGGGGGGCTACCACAGCTGACCTACCCAGGGGGGCTACCACAGCTGACCTGCCCTGGGGGACTACCACAGCTGACCTACCCTGGGGACTACCACAGTTGACCTACCCAGTGGGCTACCACAGCTGACTTAGTGTAGGTCAGCTGTGGTAGCCCCTAGGGTAGGTCAGCTGTGGTAGCCCCCTAGGGTAGGTCAGCTGTGGTAGCCCCCTAGGGTAGGTCAGCTGTGGTAGCCCACTGGGTAGGTCAACTGTGGTAGTCCCCCAGGGTAGGTCAGCTGTGGTAGTCCCCAGGGTAGGTCAGCTGTGGTAGCCCCCAGGGTAGGTCAGCTGTGGTAGCCCCCAGGGTAGGTCAGCTGTGTTAGTCCCCAGGATAGGTCAGCTGTGGTAGCCTCTAGGGCAGATAAGCTGTGGTAGCCCCCAGGATAGGTCAGCTGTGGTAGCCCCCCAGGGTAGGTCAGCTGTGGTAGTCCCCCAGAGGTCAGCTGTGGTAGCCCCCCTGGGTAGGTCATCTGTGGTAGTCCCCCTGGGTAGGTCAACTGTGGTAGCCCCCCTGGGTAGGTCAACTGTAGTAGCCCCCCTGGGTAGGTCAACTGTGGTAGCCCCCCTGGGTAGGTCAACTGTGGTAGTCCCCAAGGGTAGGTCAGCTGTAGTAGCCCCCCAGGGTAGGTCAGCTGTGGTAGCCCCCCAGGGGAGGTCAGCTGTGGTAGCCCTGGGGGACTACCACAGCTGACCTACCCTGGGGGATTACCACAGCTGACCTACCCTTGGGGACTACCACACTTGACCTACCCAGGGGGGCTACCACAGTTGACCTACCCAGGGGGGCTACCACAGTTGACCTACCCAGGGGGGCTACCACAGCTGACCTACCCAGGGGGGCTACCACAGCTGACCTGCCCTGGGGGACTACCACAGCTGACCTACCCTGGGGGACTACCACAGTTGACCTACCCAGTGGGCTACCACAGCTGACCTCCCCTGGGGGGGCTACCACAGCTGACCTCCCCTGGGGGGCTACCACAGCTGACTTAGTGTAGGTCAGCTGTGGTAGCCCCTAGGGTAGGTCAGCTGTGGTAGCCCCCTAGGGTAGGTCAGCTGTGGTAGCCCACTGGGTAGGTCAACTGTGGTAGTCCCCCAGGGTAGGTCAGCTGTGGTAGCTGTGGTAGCCCCCAGGGTAGGTCAGCTGTGGTAGCCCCCAGGGTAGGTCAGCTGTGGTAGCCCCCAGGGTAGGTCAGCTGTGGTAGCCCCCAGGGTAGGTCAGCTGTGTTAGTCCCCAGGATAGGTCAGCTGTGGTAGCCTCTAGGGCAGATAAGCTGTGGTAGCCCCCAGGATAGGTCAGCTGTGGTAGCCCCCAGGGTTGGTCAGCTGTGGTAGTCCCCCAGAGGTCAGCTGTGGTAGCCCCCCTGGGTAGGTCAGCTGTGGTAGTCCCCCAGGGTAGGTCAGCTGTGGTAGCCCCCCAGGGGATGTCAGCTGTGGTAGCCCCCCAGGGGATGTCAGCTGTGGTAGCCCCCCAGGGGATGTCAGCTGTGGTAGCCCCCCAGGGGATGTCAGCTGTGGTAGCCCCCTAGGGGATGTCAGCTGTGGTAGCCCCCAGAGAAGGTCAGCTGTGGTAGCCCCCTGGGTAGGTCAACTGTGGTAAGCCCCCAGGGTAGGTCAGCTGTGGTAGCCCCCAGGGTAGGTCAGCTATGATAGCCCCTAGGGTAGGTCAGCTGTGGTAGCCCCCAGGGTAGGTCAGCTGTGGTAGTCCCCAGGGTAGGTCAGCTGTGGTAGGCCCCAGGGTAGGTCAACTGTGGTAGCCCCCAGGGTAGGTCAGCTGTGGTAGTCCCCAGGGTAGGTCAGCTGTGGTAGCCCCCAGGGTAGGTCAGCTGTGGTAGCCCCCAGGGTAGGTCAGCTGTGGTAGCCCCCAGGGTAGGTCAGCTGTGGTTGCCCCCAGGGTAGGCCAGCTGTGGTAGCCCCCAGGGTAGGTCAGCTGTGGTAGCCCCCAGGGTAGGTCAGCTGTGGTAGCACCCTAGGGTAGGTCAGCTATGGTAGTCCCCCAGGGTAGGTCAGCTGTGGTAGCCCAGGGGGACTACCACAGCTGACCTACCCTGGGGGATTACCACAGTTGACCTACCCTGGGGGGCTACCACAGCTGACCTACCCTTCGGGACTACCACAGTTGACATACCCAGGGGGCTACCACAGTTGACCTACCCAGGGGGGCTACCACAGCTGACCTACCCTGGGGGACTACCACAGCTGACCTACCCTGGGGGCTACCACAGCTGACCTACCCTAGGGGCTACCACAGCTGACCTACCCTGGGGGACTACCACAGCTGACCTATCCTGGGGGCTACCACAGCTGACCTACCCTAGGGGCTACCACAGCTGACCTATCCTGGGGACTACCACAGCTGACCTACCCTGGGGGGCTACCACTGCTGACCTATCCTGGGGACTACCACAGCTGACCTACCCTGGGAACTACCACAGCTGACCTACCCTGGGGGCTACCACAGCTGACCTACCCTGGGGGCTACCACAGCTGACCTACCCTGGGGGCTACCACAGCTGACCTACCCTGGGGGCTACCACAGCTGACCTACCCTGGGGGCTACCACAGCTGACCTACCCTGGGGGCTACCACAGCTGACCTATCCTGGGGGCTACCACAGCTGACCTACCCTGGGGGCTACCACAGCTGACCTACCCTGGGGGCTACCACAGCTGACCTACCCTGGGGCTACCACAGCTGACCTACCCTGGGGGCTACCACAGCTGACCTACCCTGGGGGCTACCACAGCTGACCTACCCTGGGGGCTACCACAGCTGACCTACCCTGGGGGCTACCACAGCTGACCTATCCTGGGGGCTACCACAGCTTATCTGCCCTAGAGGCTACCACAGCTGCCCTACCCTGGGGGCTACCACAGCTGACCTATCCTGGGGGCTACCACAGCTGACCTATCCTAGGGGCTACCAGAGCTTATCTGCCCTAGAGGATACCACAGCTGACCTATCCTGGGGACTACCACAGCTGACCTACCCTGGGGGACTACCACAGCTGACCTACCCTGGGGGACTACCACAGTTGACCTACCCAGGGGGGCTACCACAGCTGACCTCCCCTGGGGGGCTACCATAGCTGACCTACCCTGGGGGGCTACAACAGCTGACCTACCCTAGGGTGCTACCACAGCTGACCTACCCTGGGGGCTACCACAGCTGACCTACCCTGGAGACTACCACAGCTGACCTACCCTGGAGACTACCACAGCTGACCTTCCCTGGGGGCTACCACAGCTGACCTACCCTGGGGACTACCACAGCTGACCTACCCTGGGGACTACCACAGCTGACCTACCCTGGGGGCTACCACAGCTGACCTACCCTGGAGGCTACCACAGCTGACCTACCCTAGGGGCTATCATAGCTGACCTACTCTGGGGGCTACCACAGCTGACCTACCCTGGGGGACTACCACAGTTTACCTACCCAGTGGGCTACCACAGCTGACCTACCCTAGGGGGCTACCACAGCTGACCTACCCTGAGGGACTACAACAGCTGACCTACCCTGGGGGACTACCACAGTTGACCTACCCAGGGGGGCTACCACAGCTGACCTACCCCGGGGGACTACCACAGCTGACCTACCCTGGGGGACTACCACAGCTGACCTACCCAGGGGGACTACCACAGCTGACCTACTCTGGGGGCTACCAGAGC